ACGAATGTGTTCATGCCAGTGGTCTGTACAAGTCGGACATTAGAGACAAAAGCACCTAAATCGTTTCGACTTTGGATGAGGAAACTATGACCATACATTTCCCTTATGCTGAAATTAGAGTACAGGTTTCTGTGTGCGGATACATGCATCGCAAACAAGTCAACGTTGAGGTACCGAGCAGATTGTGGGGTGAACCAATCATCGTGTGATGACCTTGAGTGTGCTGCGAGTCAGCAACGCACGTGATTGGCCGTTTCGAATATCAGCACTGTGACAAAACAGCCTATCGATCGTTCGTACGACAAACCGCTTCTTTCGGTTAACAGATGGACAACTCGGAAGTGAAAGGCTTACGCTCAAAATAAGATTTATTATTTTCTTCAGGTGGTATTCATAAGAGTTTGATTACGTCTGATGTGCAAACATGTCTCGTGTATTCATTTGTGAGACATTGCAGCGGTATATCACAAAGCTGGTTTGTCTTTATCCCATCATATTAACCAGCTCATCTACATTCACATCAGTATACAGTGAGTAGAGATTATGTGAAGTCAATAACTGACAGAATATACTGTCGCCTCCATCTCACAGATGTCGTCTACAGATATGGGAAAACTCGCTTTCTAAGCGGGTACAAAACGACTGATATATCGCACTTACACATGGTTGTCCAGTCCATCTGGTTTCGGGCCCTAGTGTTGAAGAGGTAAGAAATTGAACAGTTAACTACTCTTCAAAGTCACCTTAATTTAAGCTCAAAACGAACTCGCTGCGTGAATTTGGGTGTACCGGTTTGATATACCCAACAGTTGATTGGGGTTAAAAGGTGCGGTAGTTAGGAAATTCGTGTTGAGTGGCCATCATGTGATTGATCTTAGGTAGTCACAGCAGCTGGCATGTTTACAAGGTGGTTGAAATCTTTTAAACAGCCACGTTTTACTAGTTCTTGGAAGTCTTCAGGTAGGGGTGGTTCCAGAATTCCCACTAACCTTTCAATTACTAGTGTTATCCTTATATTGTCAGGTGATGAGCTATTCAGGACATTTTTCCGACCCTCACCTGTCACGTTTTCTTCTTCGTTATATCAAAGGTTCTTCCAACTGAAATTTGGAATGACTCAGCCGAGAGTCAACTGAATCACCTGTTAATACGAGGTTTAGTTGCAAACAAACTTTCCTCGGTTTGGTGCTCGGTTCCCAAGAGTAAGTAAAATTCAGATACCTGTCTGTTTCAGTTTCAGTGAACACTTTCAGATGGTAATATTCCAAAAAAGGCTACAAGTAATACACCGTCACAAACCGCTTCGTTTTCACTCGTTACCGCACCCTGAACCTAATCAAGAAAGTTCATCGTAATCAACGATATTAAAAATTAGCCATTCCATCAAGTATTGCGAATGTTTTTCTAAAATGAACCCATCCATGCTGCTCGACACATAGAGGCAAGCTGGCTTTCGATTCTCAGTTTCTCTTGTCTTTTTATCCTTATTCACGTTTATAAAACCCACGTGTGTATCAGATCAGCCGAAAAAATTCCTCTCGGGAGCTCGATGTATCAGTCATTAATCAATGTTCAGGACGCTCCGTTTGCACTTCCTGTCAAAAAGTTTGACGCTCATCAAACCAGATCAGATAAGGATTTTCCTGTTCAAAGACCATCGCATAGGAATAGTTCTTCAAAAAAATTATAACAAGGCTCATTTTTCGTGTTAGGAAACAGTGCCTTATCAAACTCAAGTCTACTTCTTTTCGTTTGCTTAAATTTGTCCGTTGAGATTCGCCCAGAGTGGTTTGGTGGCGACAAACTTGTTTCGCCTTCCTTTCGACCGAATTTCTGAACGTGCCTGGTTGATGGAACCTAAAAATGAAATTTTAGACCAATTCTTCTTGGTTCTATTGCAGAATATTCACCTCCAAGACGTCCGGATATCAGTTAGATTAAATGTCGCACCGGTTGACTTTAAGACACCTATTTTACCTTGCCATTATGGGGACAGCAGATAGGTAGACAATTAGAACTGCGTGGGCAGTCCGTAAGAAAGTCTCTGCGTGGGATTCGAACCCAGGTTGTTGAAGGAGACTTGACCATGTTATGACTCATCACCTGCCCCTTGATCCCCCGAGCGTAGAAATGCACCTATCAACACAGAGTAGTCCATGCACCATAGCTCTCCCAAATTCGTAGCAGTTAGTAAGGCTCAAAGACTGAGGCCGTTTTTTAAGGCCACATTTGTCAACAAAATTCAGGCACAGGGTAGCGTACATAGGCATTTTATGACCAAAAATGCTGTTATACTACTTTCTTTGTGATCACGTGGAGCTTTACCTCCTGGGAAACAAGGTCTACTTTAAACTATGAGCTTCAATGTTTGACAAGTGACACATTTTTTGCAAGGGTTCAAAACGTTCGGTTTCATTGACGGACATTTAACAGCAAAAGATGATTCCATACACATCACAGAGCCATCCCAAACGTTTAATTCCGGCACAGAACTCAATTCACAACACACAGCACCTGAGGATGGCCTTTCAGTGTGCGCTTGTTAGTAGTGTGCGAAGATTTTATAATTTTCAAAAGATGTTTCTTCCTGTCACGTGGCTGTTCAAGGGCTCGAGACCAAACGATCAGAGGTATAACCAGCGAATTTGAAGCTGGCTGGAGTGTCGTGAGATGCCCACTACTACTGATGACTCCCAATTAAAAATTAATCAGAGTTTCAGATGTGTGCAGCTCACAAGCAAAACCTTCAACAGAAAACAGTTGGACTTGAATGGAAAGATACAGTCAAACGTCAGAAACTACCAACATAGTAGCGTTTTGGCTCTTACTGGGCCCCATGATTTGAGAAGCTGTCTTGTTGCGAAACACCAGAGGGATTTGTTAGACACTACTCATAAGGTTGCTGAAAACTCCTGGGGTCTTGTCATGTCACATGGTCATCTCGTGCAATGGATCACCTTGTTTGGTACTTCCGACCATGAATTCATCGGCGTTTCAGAGTAAAGAGCCAGCTGACATCTTCATAGGTAGATAATGGACATACCGACCAGTTGGTCCTGACCACCCGATTTAGCAGGCCTTGAGGATTGCCGTTTGAAATTTCAAAGTGACTTGTCTAGTAAAATCAATACAAATCTTTAGGAATGCTGTTCAGTGTCTCATTTGAAATCCTGCCTCATTTTGCAATCCACTTTCTTGTACGATCTAACGTTGCAGCTGCGTGTGGGTGTAACTATCGGCTAATTTGTAGACAGTTAGCCTAGATCCCCTCCTGTGAGTGAACCCATTCTATGGGTTACACAACTATTTGGTTCATTTTAATGCCAGCTTTACGTGATCACGTTACTGAAAAACGAGTGATGTTACATTCTGTCTCATTTAGAGCTAATCACACTGTTGATCAGAGGGTTGTACCCAAATCACCTGGTCCTCCACTGAAGTCAAGATCGTCGGTTCGAATATTCAAGATGCTCACCGCTAATGGACACAAGCCCAGAATTAAAAGCACGAATCAAAGGGAAATGTTGTCGGTGAACACATAATCAACCAACTTATCGGAACTACAAGCAATCATAATTTCGCACTCAGTGCCATCAAACAAATCATTCTTGAGCTGACCTGATTTGTATAGTTTCAGCAAATTAAATTTCAGGGCGTTGGTTTGCAAGTTCCGGAATTCGGTATGATCGAGTCTATCTTGTCTGAGCAGAAAAAAGCATGTTTCAGGAATACTCGCTCGGATTTTGAAGTTTCCGGTAGTGCATTCCGGTTGGTAAACCCGAAACGTTGCTCAACCTATTGACCAGACGGTGTGAAATACTGGCCGATTGTGTCCTGATGAGGACAAATTCCCAAGGATTATGGGGATTCGGACGTTTGAAAAGAGATCTCCTTTGAGAACGAATGAATTCAAGCGAGTGTTGTCCCTCAGGTGTTATCATTTTGGTGACATTCACACTAACCAGTGAGACAAACAAACGAATGATTTAGCCAAGTATCGATTAAAACGGAGAAACACCGCGGGATTAAACGACAAACTCTGAGAACGACTCCAAATTTAGAAAAAAAATTGCTCAACTGAAAAAAACTCATCTAGGCGTTCAAGATATTCCTGCGCTGCTAAAATATGCTACTGTTCGTGAGTAATCGCATCGTATTATGTCATATATGAATTGGATCCTCAAGGTTTTGAGACCTCTAATGAAATTTTTGTCCCACGTTTTGAAGTAAATGTCCCACCAGATTTGTACGCTGGCTGAGAACCGGTTTTCACTGGTAAACAGTCACACAATAGAGGTCATTTTTTGGCCACAACTGCCGCATCGTATTATGTCATATATGAATTGGATCCTCAAGGTTTTGAGACCTCTAATGAAATTTTTGTCCCACGTTTTGAAGTAAATGTCCCACCAGATTTGTACGCTGGCTGAGAACCGGTTTTCACTGGTAAACAGTCACACAATAGAGGTCATTTTTTGGCCACAACTGCCGACTTCCTGCTCGCTCCAGGGGGGGGGGGAACCAGTCTCGGTAGAGTAATCGCTCTTGATCAATACTATTCCAAATTGGCTTTCCACGTTACAATGTTATAATGTCTTGATTTCAAGTTTAACAGTCAATAAATGTTCAATTATTGAATGTTGCTAAGTTACAAAGTCGTATCTAAGGTGGTTGTCCTTTTTCAGTAGAATATGGTCGAAAACCTTGTTAAAAAACTTTTAAGCTGGTACTGATATGATGAACCAATTTGTACTAATGCCACCACACTACAGGAACCCTGATATTCAACACTCGGAGTATACAAAGTGGTTTTTCTTCAAAAAGAACTGGGCTTCGAACTTCACAGATAGATTGTCGTGTTACAGTACATTTGAATTTGGCCGTTTCTGCAAAAAGAAATGAAACTCCCTTAACCGGGAGCCCCCAAATGACTCACCAATTTTATCTATAAAAATCACACGTACATGCTTTTGAGAGCAGAATCACACACTTCTTATACACTATTCATTTTCAGCTTCTTCAATATCATTCAGTGGATCTGAAGATCCACCCAGACAAAAGATTGGTCCGGTCTCATTTAATCCACAAGGTTGTTTTCTTCGGGGTTCCGGGGAACCCGGTGCGGATCGTATAATTGGGACGTACTCGGAGGAACACCTTCGACGTGCGTTCCGGTCACCGTTTGGTTGGAGCAATTCCATCCAGTAGTTCATATCTGTATTTGGAGGTATTTCCGCCTGTACAAAACAACACTCTCCGTTTCTTGTGATGATGTTGAAGCGTTTTGAATCTAGCGGAACCATTTTGGAATGTTTCAGATTCAAACAAATCAAAGGTGAGCATAGTTCAGGAGCACACTTCGTGGGCGTCCCGCCGGGTGTAAAGGAATAAAACATTAGGTATGTGGTGATCTCTCGTTGGCACGTATTTAGACGACTTCCTATGGATGATATTCTTTGATAAATCTGAACCCACACCAATTCTCTTTTAAGGCTCGTCTTTTTGTCCTTCGTGATTGTAGTTATATACAACGTGTCTGAAGTTGGACCGTTTGACCGTAGGTCTTGCTGGTCTTCTTGAAGTCCATAGAATGTACTGGCGTCGAGGCTCACATTATCTGTGTAATTCATATCTGGCACAGAAAGCCATCCGGGATGGGGCTGGACAGTTTGGAGAACGCCTTCATCATTATCTGCGTTGGTGGGCTCAATGTGTATTACTGGAATGCAAGACATGGTATACCGGTATTTTGCCAATGGGCTCACATGATCGGTGTCGTTGGAACGTGGTCGCATGGTGGGCTTTTATATACACAAGCTACTGAAAGATCAAACACAACCAGCGTGAGAACTAATGCCTAATCCAACTGCGGTCAATCCATCCGGTGTGACAGACGGTGTTTGACCAATCACATACGCCCAAAGAGAAGATATGATAACCAATCAAATTCGTCCAAATATTAGCTGAACAGCCAATGAACGAATTTGAAGGCAGTTAGCTTGTGGCTAGCCTTGAATGTTTGGAGAAAATCAAAAAAAGCTTGCAAGTCGTAGGTCAGATAAGACTGTTGAGGTTGTTCTTGCAGGAAGATTTGAATATGTTAGCAAATGTTAAGGTCTGACCAATTGAAATTTGGGATAAAAAGAAACCAAGGAGGATAAGGTACAAGCCATGGAAAAAGCAGTCCAAAGACATTGATGTCTGCATTTTTGAACAGCCAATTGGCGACATAGATCAACGACACGTACCCACATCTGTGCATAGAACTCTGTTCCCGCTCAGGCCTATTCTTCATTTGTTAAGTTTTGATCTCAAGCCATGAACTAACGGCCTTCTCATCTCTCAGAAGCAATCAGAAGAGAGGCACCAATGTAACTTATCAGTTGAGTGACTTGTAACCCCTCCTCTCACAATGGTTAGCAATGGGTTCCTATCAGATCTTCCAGGTTTGAATTATCCTTGGATATGTTTAAGGGTGATTAACTATGAGGTATTATCAGGAAGGCCAGATTTCTGAAAGTAACCACAGAATTATTGAAATCTACTGAGACACTCATCTCCAATAGACGCTAACCGGGTAGCCCTGGATCACAGCCAGGCAGCGCCAGACAGCGTTGAACTAAGAACAGACAGCGCCCGTCAATAAATTTTGCTTGAGGCCGTCGAACTTTCACACTCGCTTATTCGCAAAAAGCTGTTGTGTTTCTTGTCGTTGAGTCTTTTTCCGGCACTAAGCACTGGAGCAACGGACGGTAAACAGATGTAACTGATACAACTTTGGGTATCAGCCAGCTGCGGTTTTAACCGATTGATTAACTACCCTACATATTTTTACTTCAACAAAAAACTCTGCCGACCTACCAACCCCTCACTCATGTTACTGTACTGTACTCTTTTGTTTTTTATGGGTGGTTGAAAACTTGTCGGTTCTAGGCGCTGCTATCTTCTTGCCGAGCAGGGTTTGGAAGTTCACTGCGGGGTTCGTCCTTCAATCCAGACTATGCTGAAAAAAGCCGAGAATCACCGTTGAACTGTTTCATTCCTATTAGAAACCATCAGTGAGGCCGTCGAACTTTTACACTCGCTTATTCGCAAAAAGCTGTTGTGTTTCTTGTCGTTGAGTCTTTTTCCGGCACTAAGCACTGGAGCAACGGACGGTAAACAGATGTAACTGATACAACTTTGGGTATCAGCCAGCTGCGGTTTTAACCGATTGATTAACTACCCTACATATTTTTACTTCAATAAAAAACTCTGCCGACCTACCAACCCCTCACTCATGTTACTGTACTGTACTTTTGTGTTTTATATGGCCGGTTGAAAACTTGTCGGTTCTAGGCGCTGCTATCTTCTTGCCGAGCAGGGTTTGGAAGTTCACTGCGGGGTTCGTCCTTCAATCCAGACTATGCTGAAAAAAGCCGAGAATCACCGTTGAACTGTTTCATTCCTATTAGAAACCATCAGCAGTGCGCATCTCAAGTAGCTCAAGGGTATTTCGACTCCGCGAGTATATCGCCGCATTACACATGAACGTTCAGTGATTAGCGACTGAAGAGCATTGTGAGTACTTTCACTTACACACGACAACCCTACTCATCCCTAATCCACGGAAAGCACATCACGTGGCCCTGTACTGACTGGCTTGTGGAGTAAAGACTTCTCAGACAGAAGATTCGCTGGTCATGTGAAATTATTCTTCCTCTAAGCCACTTATAAATCGACCACAACATGAGAACATTCGTGAGGTTTTGACTGAAATTTCGCCCAGTCGGCGAGATCAATATATGCTATCCCAACTGTAACATCAACCCAGAGTACTAAGTATCCCATGAACCCGTGACCTCATGACTTGTAGTTTAGGCACTCTACGTTTCTCCTCGACCTTTCAAAAGTAAATGATTAATTCATTTAGCTAGATTAAATCAATCAATCAATTAAATGATTTAATCCACGCTAGGATCTACTACTACACCTGCTGAACTACCAACGCCTTCAAATATGTTCCATCTATCTATCTATCTATCTATCTATCTATCTATCTATTCTGTACAGTTGGGACAACTGTTCAACCTCCTGCCCAAAGAAGCAGTTCTTTTGATCAAGAACCTTTTCTATGAGAGCTCTACAGTTTCGTAGTGGGCTCACTTTGATTTTGTTTCAGTGGTGAACCTCAGGAGATGCTCGCTGTGGGAGTCGTTTCAGCGATGTGGTATCAAGCAAAACCTTTTTAGCGCCGGATATCTACTGAATAGGCTCAACCTTTTGTACTGTTTGTTTCTTCGATTCTCCAAAATTTGATGAAAATAAAGAAAAAGCGATTCTGGTAAAAACAACACAGACACACAATTCAGACGTGAAAATTCAGATACATCCGACGTGTATTGGTGAAGTATTGGTTATACCCTCGCCTTGCATGTCGGATGTCCGGAGTTCGAACCCCGGCACGGCTATCGGATATGCACTGCTGATGAGCTCTAATAAGAGCAAAACTCGAGTCTATTGCTTCCCTTTGGTGTGGACTCAACGGAATAATGATGTCAGAACAGGAACACGGACGTTCAAACGAGAGTAGTGTGGCTACGAACAAAATACCTATCTTGCAAAACCCCCAAATTTGCAACCAATACACAAACGTTTGGAACTCTTGAGGATTACTTGGTTTCAAATCAAAACTTGTGCTACCATCTAAAGTCCAAACTTGGGAATGCAGTGGCTAATGCGACCAAGGACCACAAGGCAAAGAAAACACGTTTTCACCGAGCAGAGCATTTCATTTCTACCCGTGGTGTCTAGTATATAACTTGATTTTCTGTCAACATGAAATCCAAGGCAGTCTTCACTGAGTGCGTTGTTCTGAGCGCGTTAGATTTAGTGTAATGCGCGTTCCTTTGCAGACCAAAAACCGCCACTTTAGCTAGGGCTGCAGTGGAAGTTACAAGTTTTCCGAGCATGAACGTTTTCCTTTTAGGATATCCAACCGCCTGTGCGTTTTCTCCTCTATCGAACGCATGCTTGTCTAATTTTTAACAGCTTGGATATTTTCACGAAGGAAAGTACTCAGAAGTTTGCTGAAAATTCGTCGACAGCCCACGACCGGTTTCGCCCTTCTTGGGGCTCATCAGGTAGGCGCAGTCCCCCAGTTTCCATCAACCTTATGTTCTGCTTGATATTTCTACTGGGTATTGCGTTTACTGCCGTATTCCGTTTATTGATTGTGTTGTTTCTTCAAAGGTGAATCCCCAACCGCCTGTGCGTTTTCTCCTCTATCGAACGCATGCTTGTCTAATTTTTAACAGCTTGGATATTTTCACGAAGAAAAGTACTCAGAAGTTTGCTGAAAATTCGTCGACAGCCCACGACCGGTTTCGCCCTTCTTGGGGCTCATCAGGTAGGCGCAGTCCCCCAGTTTCCATCAACCTTATGTTCTACTTGATATTTCTACTGGATATTGCGTTTACCGCCTTATTCCGTTTTATGATTGTGTTGTTTCTCCAAAGGTACGAGGAGTTGATGCGATATTCACATCGGCTGACCTACACACCTTTGTGCGAATACGGAATTCACCAGCTCGTTGGCTGCTTATGTCCCTCTTCGATACATTTCTAGCGTTTCACAAAAAGATTTACATTTTTAAGATCCAGTCATTTTTCATGAAATTATTCTTGACAATATGCGTAAAACTGTGTGTGTAATTTACCTGGTACTTAGGGACTCAACATGCATTTGGGGATTGCATCGTGTACGCATGGCGCAGTCAAGCTGAAGCAATTGCGTCACACCGGTTTTATTTAACAAAAGGAAACATTTTCTGAGCTTTCAAGTGCCTAAGCCGGAATGTGTTCAGTCTATAAAACTATCGTACGTAGGCGTATCAAGAGCTTTGTATTTTATCTTGTATTTAACCCTAGACAGACTCATTGGTTCTGCAACTTCCTTCTCACTGAGGCAGCACTGCAGATGGCTTTGGGCTGAAAAAAAATTAGAAGTTCCTATCCATCCGCAAATAAAATGAAGACTATGTATATATTTGTAATGTACTACTCATAAGGTTGCTNTTTACTACCGTAGGATTCTGGTGTCCGCTTTCATTTTGCAAGGAATCACTTCAATGTTCCAAAATACGATGATGTCCGTAAACGGACTGATTCTATCTGTGCTCTCCGTGTGCACACCTACTCTGCCTGTATAATGTTTGCAACCGCCACCACCTTTTGTCTCAAATTCCATTGTTCGGTTTTCTAAACAGTTACTTGCACATTGTCTACTTTCAGCGACAGAGTTCCGGTGCCAACATGAACGGTGGTTATCCTGATGCGAAACCTAGTCCTGACGCCAACACCAACGCCGCGCTGGCCGCTTTAAACATTTTGAACAATCCCAATGTTGTTGCTGCAATCGTGAGTGCCGCAGCCGGAGTGTCCAAGGGTCAGTCATCATTTACAAATTCAGGGGTAAGTCTATGTGCATTGGGATCTGTTTGGTGGAGAGAAGTTAGCTGAATTAGTATACCCAGTGCTTGGTACTTGCTGCGGGGGCGAGATGGTCCAAGTAGTTAGAGCGCGAATTTACTGACCGGAAGGTTTGTGTTTCGAATCTGACCTCCGCCTCTCGAATTACCCTGTCCATACTTGGACAACCTGGCAGTATTCCAGCCCTCGTACAACCTTCGGGTGGCATGGCAGCTAGGCACCGAAAGGGTAATACAGTTGAACTTACTAACTGTTACTGCCAAGGTGAAAAGTCATTTACACGAAAAGTTGGTGCTCTACCCTCTATCAAAACTCTGGTCTTTGAA